TTTTATATAATTAATATAATTTTCGTTCGTTTATAAATGATTAATTAATAATTTCAATAGAGTCGATAAAAACGTCTTCATCGGATAAAATTTGAATTAAAATAAAAAACAAGTTAATTGAATAATAATGTGTTAACTCAAATCACATAACGAGATAAAAATTTGACAGATTTAAATCAAATTCAAATTGGAGATCGACACAGAACGAAGAGAGAGAAAAAAAATAGTCTGTCGAATGTGAATAATGTATATTATGTAAACTTTCTATTATACGGAGCGAATCGACGCACAAAAAGAAGATACTTAAAGTAACCGTCATGTTTTTCTTTTTGTTTGTTTCGGTTTGTATTATGGACGTTCGTTTTATTTTGGTTTTAACGAGAAAGTCATCAAACTGGACACGAAATACATTTCTTGCACGAAATAGTACATATAAAAAGAAGGTGAATCCAATTGGTTTTTAATAATTTTTTTTACTGAAAAAAAAAACATTGTACGAAAGAGGAAATCACGTATCGTTAGCATAATATATTTCAATTGAGCGCGCGTAAATTTTACGGTCATACTTTTATACTTAGATTTAATAAACTTGGAGAGAAAAAGACGAATAATTGATTTTAAAACAATTTTGTTTGTTATAATAATAATATTTATTGAAAAAGACAATTACAAAATAAAAATAACTAAATAAAATAATATAAATATCATAAATCAATAAAAAAAAATTGAATTGATTGTTAATAATTTTATTTATCATGATTACTTTTTATTATTTATAATCTTAATGGACTAATTTATTAGATTGTTCTTAAAATGTATATAATTTGGTTCTTGATTAATTTTCAATCAATTCCAATGTATAATATGTTTACTTTCTCTGTTCTAAATACAAAAATTGAATTGAATATTTTATTTATAAAAATCTGTAAAAATGTAATGGAGCAATTCTGTATTTTTTTTAAAGCTGAAAAAGTATGTATTTCCTGTAATGAAATGTGTTGTTGAATTTGATTGGATGTAAGAAATGTAATTTGTGAACCGAAACGAATCATTTTCTGCGAACAAATTCAAGTTGTGATGATTTGTTAAGGGTAAAATCGTCGGAATGGTTCTTTGCAACGACGATAAAAAAAAAACGAGTAATTTAGCAAGGAACCGGCAATCATGAAGGAGGAACCCCTTTTCTGGATATGGTTAGATAGTCAAAAAATCCAATTACGTCCCGTCGAAGATTGAAACGCGAAATTGCTGGGGCCTCTCTGAAAAATAATGACTGTCTTCTTTTGCGAGGCGACGCAACGGGGTATGAAAAAAAAAGAAAATAATAAATAATCAATCTCGCAATAAGATTGAAACGAGTAAAACAATGCGAGAGAATAATTATGGTTCGAAAAGTTTTTGGAGTCGCTGCAGAGCGGAACGGATTGTATTTCGACGTCCCACACGTATGTTGCAGTGTCCATTTACAATCGACGTTTTTGCTTCCATCGCATTGTATGTAGCTTGTAACAGTGTTTTTTTTTTTCGTAGAGCACCACGACGTTTAGTCTTAGCTGAGGTAATGGTGAAAATTTATATGGGTCGTGCGTTGGATTTTTCATAAAATGAAAAGAAACGAAAGAATCATTTAAATAAACAAAGCATGAACCGGAGGAGACGACGGGTCCGGAATACGTTTAACCTCTCACCAGTTAGATTTCTTTGTGTTAAACATGACTGCAATGAGGAAGATTCCGATTCGGATCTCTGCTCTCGCTATATACGTCTTTCTCTTTTTCACTCTATACATCTTGTAGTGCCCTCGAAGCCTGTACTTTGTATGCACGTACTCTCAGACTAATTAACTTGCAGCACTCTGGAACGCGATCCATTATCGCCAGCATCCAATATTGCACGTCGCATATCGTCGGTGCATCATTGTTCCGAATGTGTGATCTTCGGCCGCGCTTCCTCAATCCAATTCCATTACGCTTTTCTACTCTCTTCTTCATCCTTTCATCCAATCAGATGACAATTGGTTGAGTCTGATGATGATTCTAAGTTTCTGATTGGGGGGTTGAATCACATTTTATTATCGCGTTTGTTTTCGTTGCCGTTTCCCTTTCTTCCTCTCGCTTTTGTTCATCATTGCGGCTATTGTCGTCCGACATCCAGGACACAATAGTCCAGTCAACGGCCTCGATACAATAGCCTTAGCTAATATGAATAAATAAATATTATGCACATTTGTATTTATGCAGGTTTATATGTGTGTATATGTCCCTGTTATATATGATGCAATTACAATCTGCTTCAGGGCTTAGAAGCACACATTCAATAAGCATCGCGCGCGAATAAATCACTCTTCGCCCAAGTAACTCGATTCGCCATGGTTTTCCTCCTTCGTCTGCACAATTATAGCAAAAGGCCAACGGAGCGAGCGTCTTTTTACTTTCTGTTACTTTTAATTTCTTCAATAAAGATCAATTTACACTCGCGCTGCAAAACGTGCCGGGGCCGTTAAGACAACAATACAGATTAACGCCGATGAAGTTCCTCCTCCTCTTCATTCGTCTCCAACAAACAACATCTTTTCTGTGTGGATCGCGCAGCTGCTGCCGTCGCTGAAGACGAGATCCGAATCGGATGGAATTGGAAATTTGCCAAGCACAATTATTTCATTTGGATTTCGATTGTGTTTAATTGACTTATTATTTGCGCCTTCTCGGAATACGTCAGTCGCACTAATTGAAGACCGCTTTCTTGCAGGTCTACAACCAAGGTCTACCACTTCAATCGTTCGCGTAAAAAATAAGTTCGCAAATTTGTTGAATGAACTATCAAAACCAATTAACGCATTTCAATCAACTACTATCATTTTCTTTTCAACTTGATTTAATTAACAAAACTGAAAGTATGTTTTACTTTCAACATAATTCACTTCTATTACAAACTACTTAATATAACAACATTAAAAAAAAATCAGGATGCGTTAGCTTTCATGAAAAAGTTAACTTTTATTACAATTTATTAATTTATAACAATGTAAGTATCTGAATAAACTTACTTATATGTACTTTCATACAACTTCAAACATAATTAGTATGTATTTAGTTTACAAAAGTAACCAAATTCACCTATTACTTACATATAATTATAATTTATATTCAATTACAACAGTTTATTGTTTATAAAAAATTAATATACTAATGATTTATTACAGTAATTACGAGAAGAAAACAAATAATTCATTAATTTTACATCTTCCTGTAAATTATTCTACATTTACTTATAAAATATGATATTTTTATTCAAAATTAAACAGTTTAAAAAAAATATTATTATTTTTAATAAATTCACAATTTATATTTAATGATTGACATTTTCATTCATTATTTATTTGATTGTACTTGAATTTAATTTTGTTTTCCACGTAAATAAACTTTTATTTACACACATTTTTGTTTGAATATACACGATAATTTTTGTTGCAAACAGTAGAAAAGGCTGTTGACCCTACGTGTGTATGTACGTCATTGAATATTAAATATATAGATTATTTTCTATATTAATAATTGTAATCTCAAACATTTACATTTTTTGAAAAAATAGATAATTTTAATATTTTTTTTTGTAAATCATCAACATTCTTCAAATTAATTATTAACTATTTATGTAATTAATTAAATAAAAATAAATATATATAGAAAAATTTTAGAATATTTTTATGTAAATTATAAAAAATAAAGAAAAAATGATCAAATTGTTAATAATAATTCAATGAAATTTCTAATTGATATATCAAATAATTATTTGATTATTATTATTTGAAATTTTTTGTTGTAATACAAAGAAACTGTTTATTTGTTTTGAAAAGTTATTCGTATATTAAAATAAATGAATACAAATTTGTTACGAAAACGATGTTCTTATTCCTGTTCGAAATGATATCAATAAAAAAATATAACGACCGTAATTTCATGTTTTCGAAATATTTTTCTTTATAATAACTGCTAAGGATAATCGACTTGTAATCTTAATTAGTATACAAATCATTGCGTGCTCTATAAAGTTATGAATGAGCTCCATAGAAATAATTAGCATGCCTTTGATTCGTTCCGATTTTGCCACTATATATGGAAATCGCATGCTCGGATCTTTTTGATCCATTAATATAAATTACAATCGTAAAATTGCCGACTTCCCCTCTTTACATTAAAAATATTTCAAACAAAGATCTTTTATTTATTTCTTTAATTATTTATTACAGATTCGTACAATATATAAATCAATTATTAGAGAATTTTTCTAATTGTTTTTCATTTTTTCTTGTATAATTACATTTTATAATTATGAAAAAGCTACAGGAAAAAATTCTTAAGATTTAATATTCATTTGTTTAGGTTTTAAACATTTCCATTTTTTTTAATTCATAAATTATTTGATTTGAGTAAAAATCAAAATCTTGTTAAAATGTTATATAATAATGTAAAATGAAATAAATTTCTACTCGAATTTATACAAATATTGGTTTATAATTTTGAAGATTTCCATTTTTTATACACATAAATTTTGATGAATTTGAGAAATTTGTTACGCAAAAAAAGTTTATATAAAGAAAAAAAAAACATTATTAAAATTTAATATAAAGTGAATAATATTATTAGTAATTCTTTAGTTTATACTTTTAAATATTACAATTTTTAAATACAATGAATTTGTGTAATTATTAATTAATAAAAGTTTTGCACTTTATTATTGAGATTTAGTTTAAATGTTACATGTATGTAATTATATAATGTGTGTGTGTTATATTTTATTAATTATTGTTGCTGAAAGGAAGAAAGCATTTGCAGTTTACTTTACAAAATAAATTTGTGAATGGGAGTATTTAATTTGATTTATTTTTTTATCTATAGTACAAGATTATTCTGTTTAATTATGTTATTGTCGTCCACTTGTATGGTTCTATGTATTCGAGGCTGAAGGTTGTTAGTTGAAGAAAATGAATATGGACGTACCTGGTAACGCGATGACTAAAAACACACAAGCACACAGTAGTCGCTCCATGGTGATGACAAGTTGAAGTGTGAGGCTCTCCGGAGCACCGAATATATATGGTTTAACCCGCGCGAGAGCTCGGTCTTGTTGTAAACTGTCCACAAGAGTGGTGAGCACCGACTGGCCTATATTGCCCTACTCCGCTGCAGATATACCATGATCATCATCATCATCAACATCATCATCATCATCAACAACCACATCATCTTCGAACCGGCGGCACAAGAACAATTGCCTCCAATCCCCTTCTCTCAACTTCACTTTGGTTCTTCATATACATATTTTTTATTTATTCGGGGTGGAAAGTCCTCTTCACATCTTAACAACTTAAAAAGCATGAAAGCCACCACCCCTTTTTGACGCTCACGCTTCAATAAGCATCGAAACAAATAAAAAATAAACAAAGTAATCGACGAGATGAATTTGAATGAAATCCCCGCAAACCTAATCCCCTCATCACATTTAATCCGCGTTATGACCGAAGCGCTGATCATCAATATTAAAATCTGCAATTAAAACTTATTTTGCATGCTCTAGACTAATTAACCCAGATTCGACGATGATTCGTATCTCTTCTCGGGAATCTCAATGTGACTCGCGTACAAAGGACTCTTTTCAGCTCTGCGAAACGCGCACATGCACCAAATTGAAACTGATTACGTATTCCTCCGACGGTTCCCAGTGAAAAGTGCCTTCATTTCCCAATACTAATTCATGTTTGGTGAAATTAAACGCAATCTAGCTACTAGGAAACTTTATTGCTTTCTTTATCCTTCAAACACAATCCTACTTTTTGTTACTTTATTTATAAATTTTAATTTATCTTTATAACATTTTCATCTACATTGTAAATTTATACTGTTTTTTATTTATCTTTTTGTACGTAAGCTCAAAATGCGATGCATTTCTTGCATAAATGTTAAGTTCAAGTTGAATTAATTTTAATCAATAATGCGACTAATTTATTTATTAGTAATATCACAGTTAAAATCAAATATTAAGTTAGTAATTTTTGTACATTGACTTTAGTTCAAAATTGAATTGTATATTTGCAACAATTTTATAATCCTAACAACTATTATTAAATTACTTATTTTAGAACGTGTTTAAATTATATAATTGATAATTTATTCTTCACATATTTTTTTTTAAACAAATTTAAATAATTTTTGCTAAATTTTTTGATACGAATACAATAAATCATATAGTAAGAAATAATATGACTTTTAATTAAGTATTTTAAATATAAAAAAAAAATCATAAGATTGTTTTTTTTTGTACGAAATTTTAGTTATTTTAAGCATTCGTGAATGATTCAATTAAAAATTAAAATATTTTAATAAAAATTTGATCGATTTTATGAAAGTAAAGACAAAATGAGATTATATTTTAATAATATTTTGTTATGTGTTTTCATTTTAAGAATGTACGAACAGAAATGTTATATGCATAATACATACAATTGCATAATATATGGAGTATCAGATTACATTCATATTTTATGCAAGGATTCAGCTGCGTGCATAAAATAAGAAAAAAAAAATTATCTACGTGCAAGTATCCAAACTCTTCAATATCAAAACACGTTCAAAACATAAAATAAATATATAAACCCTAATAAAATTGAATGTTTCTTGTATCATTTTAAAGGTATTTCGTTTCTATAAAATCGTAGTTTTCATATTGTTAAAATACGTTTGAAAAAATAAGGTGTTAATTGGTGTTTGAGGTGAACACTACGATCACAAAATATTTAGCTTGGAGAGTTACAGTTAATTCTACAATACTTTATTGAGCATATCAAGAATTTTTTTGATAAATACACATCGTTATTAGAAATGTTATTATTCAAATCGTATAATTGTTACGCTCTGAATAAGCCATATGTACAAGAAAATAAAAATAAATACGTAATTGCTAACGACTCGGTTGTTATTTTTTTTTTCTAACGTATAATCAATGCTATTGATTTCTGCTAATAATGCATGCAAACTCGGAAATACCGTCAATCAAATTCCCGACGTCCGAAATCCCGACTCTATCAAAATTCCGACAACCATAATCCCGACTATATCAAAATCCCGACTATATTAAAATCCCGACAACCATAATCCAGACTGTATCAAAATCACGACTATATCGAAAATGTCTACAGTAATATTTTTAAATTATACCGAAGCGTAGTGACTTTTAAATTGTTATTAATAATAAATAATAACAATTATTAATCTAATTGTATTTGAGATTATTTCATAATGTTAAGGTTTATTATGAATAATTCAACAAAATCAGTAATAATTTATTGTTTTTACTAATAAAAGTGTAGCACAAGGTGACTACTCTCTGAAACAATTTAAAAATATTATTGTAAAAATTTTCGATATAGTCGGGATTTTGATATAGTCGGGATTATGGTTGTTGAGATTCTGATATAGTCGGGATTTTGAACGTCGGGATTTCAATAGTCGGTCTTTCGGTTATTGGTCTTGCGATATAGACACATGCAAACTATATCATTTGTAATTACTTATTTTAAATTAATTATTTTTCTTCAATATTTGTCCAGAAGTAATTGATGTAGAATTTGCTACTCTCATGTTTTTCTTTTTTAATTGTTTGGATGTGCATAACGGTTTACGGTGGAAATAAAAGTTTATAAAGTACGGAATCGAGAGGCTCGAAAGTGAGTTCATTAATTAGTGCGCACAGGCTAATTACTGAAACTTCTATCTCAGTTATTCTGCTCCGCTATTCGTCGTCCTGACGACACAAATTCGAGAGCGCTCCAAATGATGAAGCTATTTTTAATGGTTTTATATGAGAAGTATACGAGAGGAATACTTGGGATAGATGTTTTATTACGAGGAAATGAATCTAAATGGTTGTTGCCTTTGATTTATCGAAAGAAAAAAAAGGAAGACTTTAAGAATGGAATTATCGGTCCGAGAAGAATACGCCATTAGGAAATATATTTGATCCAGTCGTCAACTCGATTAATCACATCGCATCATCGATTAATCAGTTCTGGAATCTTATCTGCCTCTGCCTACTTTTCTCTTATTATTTTTTCTTGTTGTTGTTCTGCTCTTCTCGTTTCCTACTTCATCCTTCGCGTTTCCTCGACCTCCAGCATCTCTCCGACTTTACCGTTATCGCGGATTTCTTTCTCCCCGGTCCGCTTTTGTGGCGGAATGGTCTCGGTTGCGTAACCGAAGACGGACGGGATCCACTTACGAGGAACACGAGGACAAGGTGCTTGCATGCTTTGACCATTCGAGATCATCCTCGTTTTACGGGCGGATCCGCATTAAACAAACGGATTAGGTATGAAGGAAAAGAGAGAAAAAAACGAACGGTAACCCGAAAATTATGCTGTAGAATAAGTGTGTTTTTGCAATTACTGTAATCCGTACTTTACCTTCGGTTTTATTTCTTTCTTTGGTTTTGTAGTTAGCTATCAGTTCCGTCCGTAGCCGACGGTAAGCTGCGCGCAAAAACTCGGCGTATTTCTCAATTTAAATTCAATTTAACATAACGGACGATATTCAGAATAATTCGAGACGAATCGTACTTGGAACTCCTTCGACATTTGCATAGTAGTCGCTTTCAAACTAGAGCAATTGCTATTCCGCAAATACTTTTTGAAAGAAAATAATTCCTTGTTCTCATTCCTTGTCTTTTCGCTTAACATTATTCAAATATCAAGTATAAATCTTTAACAATAGCCAATATTCCCAAATATATAAAATATGGATAATTTTAACATTTGTTTTCATATATTTTTAACACCATCCTTACTCTATAGCAGCGGCCGGGGAACTTTTTTAACAATTACCCCAAAATATTATTGCCATTCTGAATAGAAAACAATCAATGTAAATTTTAAATAAACATTATTTATTGAATTAAGTTGCATTTACATATTTATAAAATAAGTTTCATGAAAATAGTAACAAATAGTAATAGACAAACAAAATACATTTCTTAAATTGGAACAAACAAA